CTCCCCCTTCCCCAGAGCCGCCACGCAGGCTACAGAAATCATGATTTGGGCTTGACCGCTATGTCTTTCGTCACAGCGGCTTTCTCCTTCTTATTAAAGTAATCTAGCTGTTGTTCAGTCCTTCGGCATGGCCGCCGGTCTTTTATCTTTTGAAGCTCCTGGGAATGGTTGAAAACGGTCTTGTCATGAAAAGTGTAAGCATATGAGACACCTTAACAGAAGTTGGATATAAGCTTAAAATTTGTGCTATTTGTTTTGCCTGATCTTTATGTAATGTTGAACATGAACAAAAGAAAGCACAAAAAAATGTTGATATTACAATAGCTCTAGAAATTTGAATCTTCTCAGATTTAAGGCTAAGCCAGTAAAAGTTTATAAAGTTTGAGCCTTAGGGAATATAGGCTTAGCCTCAAATTGGAGAAAATGCAAATTTATATTGTGCTTTCTTTTGTTTTTGGTAAGGTCTCTGCACACAACTGTAAGAGGTTGTTGAAGTTAAATCAAGCAGTGGTTTCTAGCTTTGAACGGCAAAAAAGACTACTATTATGTTGAATTTGATGCATATAATTTAGGATTCAGATCAAAACCTTATCTATCTGTTGAACTTTGAATTTTAGTTTTCGAACATGCATGCTGGGCATATTAGAACCTCATTAATCAAGAGTCTGCATCACTTCTGTTGCTTTCAAAGTGCTATCACAGTTATTTAATTGGAGAAAATATAAAAACAGATCAAATTCAGTTAAAATAATGTTCAGAATTTTAAGAAGAAGGAGAAAAACAAGGAATTAGCTTGGAAAATCGGTTATTTTGGCGAAATAAACCGGATGTAACACAGGCTAGGAAAATCCCCTAAAGGAAGAAGAAGAAGAAAATTTAGTCATAGCCTATCAATCATAACATTGGGTAACTCTGATGGTCCTGGGTTTAGATCATAGATTCAGAGACATTTTTTTCATTTCTCTCCTTGTAAAAAGAAGAATTATTTAGGATACCACAGGGAGCTCGCAGGTTTGTGAATAGACTAATAAATAAATAGATTAATTGGCAATGCATGTATTGCAGTCTCAAATTTACAGGAAAGTGAGTGACGTCACATTAGCATAAATCGTCCACCCATAATATCTTTTGATTAAATTTCAGTGTGTGCAAGTAAATGGCGACATCATTTTATGCAGACACATACACTGACATTGATGGCAGAGACGCTATTGCCTCAGTTGATGTATATACCAAGAGCGACCAAGAAGGTGGAAGTGTTAATCAACAAGTGACAGGAATAATAAAAGGAATAATAATTAATAATGAGAACTTAAATCATAGCTGTTGTCCAAAATGCACTTGTTGTTCGGATTTCAGGGATGTTCTGCTTTTACCAGTGTGCAGTATAAAATTATATGACAAAACAAAAATTGACAAGATTGTTGCAGAGGTATATGGCTTCACAAATCCCCTCGATGTATCAGAACCTGATAAGATTATTCAAAAGTACAATCATCAGTTGATACCTTGCAACCGGAAAGATGATAAAAACAAGAAGTCAGTCAACAAGAAGAAAGATGATAAAAGCAAGAAGTCAGTCAAGTCAGTGTCTGCCCAAATTTTGACAAGGGATGAGCTTTTCACACGTGTAAGAGACAGTCCAAAGAAGCTGTTTGCTGTAGGAAAGTGTGAAGGTGAAGGAAGACTAACATTTGTTCAGCTAAGGGTTGTTGATGAAAATAATACTGGTCAAATTAAATTTGAAAAGTCGCAATCGCATGAAATACTGAGTACTTATGGCCCTTTAGTTCTTGGAATTAGAAAAATAAAAAAGAATGGTACAGATGAATATGATGTAGATGCCATTGGGAGTTACTCACAAGAAGATAGTGGCATCATCATCACATTATTTGGTGATGGTATGTACATGTCTAGGTATAAATGAAAAATGGGTAGGGGTGATCGTGATTGACCTTTTTCCTTGTGCATACATCTCAGGATCTCTAGCTGTACATTTTAGGGACAGATTTGATGAGAAAATCAAAATTTAAACAAGCTGCTGTGACGCTTTTCAAATATTGGCGCACCCGCTTTGTAATTTGTAGATTGCCTTTGGTATTACAACATTATCCCGTGTCTTGGGGGTTACAAACTAGCCTATCCCACAACAGCACAGGATTGTGACATAATACCACGGTTAATCCACATTTCAATAATAGCACGCGTTGATAACTAAAAAAGTATGTACAGATATGTTATTTATTCTCTCAAGCAATAGTTGGGCTGCCTATGACTTCAGTTAAAAAGGCGTCAACCATGCATGTGTACCTTAATAAGACACAGTTTTTGACCAATCCAAGACCGTGTAAAATAACAAATATCATATAAAAGCATACTAGACATTATATCACTTACCTGATACTAGCAACTGTTTGCTGTCATATTGTTTCTTTAGGGAATGACAAGGCAGTTCAATTTCCAGAGGTAACACTTGAGCAAGATAATAGCGATGGAACTGGTTCAGTGTCACCCCAAGAAGGTATAATGATATTTATTAATAACAGTACAAAAATTATTATTGATCACTTAATACACAGTTAAATGTTTTGTAACTGACACTCTTTGGTCATATTGGTAGAGTTGCCTGCCTATTGAGAAAAGTTGTGTTTCGAAACAGACTATTACAATGACATAATCTAGTCATTCTTAAAATATAATATATAGCTTCATATTGTTTTCATATAAAGCTACTTTTGAAGTAATGTATCGTGTCCGCTTGAATATGGGAAGTTCAAATGGAATGTTCTATATTGTAGATGCATTTAGACTTATTAGAATGGCAGCTAATGAATGGACTCTATTTGAGTCATTTTAGCAAAAATACATTCCATTTTTGGTTTGGAGAGGAAAAATTATGACACAATTATTAAATTCGAACAGAGTCCCCATGTGAGTTCTACTTGATTTAGTAGAAATGAATTGTACTAATTGAAACATTGAATTGCCAACAGATTTGGAAGGAAGAAATCCATATGATCTTCCTAAGAATACACACTCCACAGCTTCGTTTGAAAAACCAGGGCATAAAGGTGCTATATCATAATACATATAATAATGTTTAATGTTCATTATGTATAGTTAGTACAGGATTAATTATTATCAGAGAGATATGTAGTAATTTCCTTTTTACAACTAAACATGTTAATGAGATTGACTGCATAATGGATTAGTCAGGAGCCCATTACTAATGGTCTCCTGGATTAGTCCATGAAAGTGATACTTTGGACAAAAAGCTGATCTCGCCTATATTTTGTCAGCTTCTTTACTACAGATGAAAAAGGAAAGAGATGATGCAAAAGAAACAAGGTAAGACAGCTTGTCTATTTTGTATGATATTTCGGTTAGGTTAGGACAATTGTTAGAGTGCATGTCAAAAAGCATAAAACAATTCTTAACTATCAACATCTAATAAGATTTAGTTATCAACTAACTAAGAATTCACTGGGGCATGAACACAATGCCAGAAAGGAAACTAACCCTTGTCTTTGTTTATGCCTCACTAAATTCTTAGTTAGTCGATAACTAAATCTTATTAGGCACTAATTACTTAAGAATTGTTTTATGCTTATGTGGCATGCACTCTAATCATAAGCATGGATCCAGTGAGGAGGCAGGAGGGGGGTTGAGGGGTGGCTAGACACCCCCTTTTTAGCGGAAATTATGTCGGCGAGAATCTTTCTACCTGATAAAACACTCTCTCTAGTGTAAAACTCCAAGACTAATTTGAAACTCAAATACGTTAAAATTCTTGGAGAAATTGATGTAAAAATAAATTTTGAGCAAAATGGGGCAAACTGATCATGCGCAAATCACTTTGCAAAGCACTCTTTATGGTTTTCTCCCACATTGAATACACATAAAGAAAAATAGATCCTCTGTTGGCTGTTTATGGCAATCGGTTGACATCCTGCATTGGTCAATGATCAGGTATCAAACCTGAGACCTTTGCTAGGGTCATGGACCTCTATATCTGATAAAGGTCCATGCATGTGACCAAATAGGTTCATTCTATTGGCCTAATAACTCATTAATTATGTGTGAGTTTTTGAAGCATGAGTATGTTAGGAACCGTGGATTCAATGTTCTGTGTTCTTTGGTTCTTTTATTGTCATCTCAGTTTTAACTTCAATTCTAACTTCTTCTACAAATTTGTTCGGCTTATATGTGCTACAATCAGACAGTGTTTGGGTTTTACCTGGGGTATTAAAATTTACCCCACACCAATTTGCAGCCAATCCTTTCCTGGGATTAGAACTCTCTGGAAACGGTTGGTTTTGTCTGTTTTTTAGGCATCCCGTGAGGGAAGTGCCCCTGGCTGATGGTGCCACGTATAGCTCTCCAATATACAAATATATCTACAAATACTTTCTTAAAAACATCTATTTTACCATTCTTCATGATTTATGCTATTTGCCAGGCTGGGCATGGTTGGATGCGTGAACTTACGGCGACTCCCGATCATGGCCGATCTTCGTTCCAAGCGCGACCACCCATACCTAGCCTTGGTCTTCCCTAATCCACTTGTGACGTTTATTTTGCTATTACCAAAAGTCCTAAAAAATGTCAGAATGGCGTCTCGTAACTAATCCACTTATAATGTTTAAATTTAGGCTAAATATTTTCCTATATTTCAAAGTCATACTAAATTTCAGCATAGCGCCTTGTAACAAGTAATTTGTCACTAGCCCAAACCATTGTTACCACTCATATTGTATCATTAGTCAATGGTGATACAGTTAGAAGTGGTAGGGATGTACCTGTAACCCTATCACCTGCATTTATCCTCCAAAATGTAAAGTTGGTTGCTTGTTTGATTGTATTCAGCCCTGATGAAGGTGATGATAAAAGTCCTCCAGTTGGTGAGTTCTGCCATTTATTGATGAAAATCTTTATAGCAGTTATATCACTAGTTATAGTAGTTAGTAGTTACAGCCTTTTGCACAAATTATGAGACATTTTTATATATATAAATATACAGCCTTTTGCGAAAATTATGAGAATTGTCTAAATATCTAAATATCATAATATCCATATCCATATATTGTCCGGAACACGCGGGTTTGCTAGAATAATTCATTGTTGACATCGAGAAAATGTTCAGAACTACGGATAAGTCTGTCGCCAAAAAAAACTAAACTACAAAGACAAGGGACTAAGGGCATCGCGCTGGATTACCCATCATGCACTCGATATTATGATATTTAGATATTTCGACAATTCTCATAATTTTTGCAAAAGGCTGTACCTAACCAAATATCAAAAACACCCAAGAAATTATGGGATACCGTCGCTGATATTTTGTCTGTAACAACCTGATGCTAGGCAATCATGACAAAATATAATAGAGATATACCATAATTTCTGGGGTGTTTTTGATATTTGGTTAGGTATATTTATATATATAAAAATGTCTCATAATTTGTGCAAAAGGCTGTATATTATATTATATAAATATAAATTATATTTGCTGCAGCGAGCTCAAAGAGTACAATCTTTTGGTCGTTGCTCGATTCTGCCTCGCCGTGGTACAAAACCACAGGCTTCTCCTTCAACTTCTTTATTGACTGTGAAAAGGACTATAATAGAGCACTTTCTTAAGTGCTTACCGTCGATATTTGATACAATTCACAATATTATGGAAACATTCAGCACTCTCATATGGGATGGAAGAAGTATTTCTGGAAAGTTTTGAAGTTATGGGGGAATAAAATTACACGGATTTGTAAGGAATTTCTTCTCTTAGAGTTTCGTAGCCTTGTTTTGGTGTTTTTGTGACTCTTCTAACCGTTATAAGAGAATTATGAATTTAACAATAATATGCTAATTAGTGTCGGCTATTTTGAATGTCATCAATTTTGTACTTTAATCTACTTTGTATCTAATGTGACATTGTTTCCATTGTCAGAATCGAATAAAAATGTACCTCCAATTCCGGATAGTTCGAAACCACTTGACGTGAAGCTGGATAAACTCAAGGAGCTTAGGAAAATGTGGAAAGACTTTCATAGTCAATTGCCAGAACACAAAGAAAAGACAGTTATGAGAAGATTATTAGAGGGGCTGGACGGTCTGCTCAAGGAACTTGGTGAAGAAAAAAACAGAAACTTCGAGAAACTGCAAAAGAATGAAAATGAGAATGTTAGAAATTTTATATTTTGGATTGAAGTACTTCAAGATATTCTTGCTAATATACGGATGGCAGTTGAACTGGTGAGCGTAGGTAAAATTGAACAACTTCAGAAGCAATTGGAAGATAAGGAAAAGATAGAAAGTCTGAGAGAAAATAACATAAGTCTTGAAAAACAATTAGAAAATGCGAAAAGGGAAATCAATGATGCAAAAGTATTAATTAATTTGCAAAAGAACACACTCTCAGATCTCCTGAAGAAATTGCTAGGCTGTCCCGACGAAACCACCCAACAAGAGTTACAGAAAGAAATGGATTACTTCCTTCGTTTGGTAGATCAACGATTGGATAACATAATAGATAGGTCACATGTAAGTTTCGACGATATCTCGAGTTCTCTTGAATAAGCATATGCACTTCTTTGCCTGAATACTAAATTTCACTCAAACGGCTCACTGTTAGCGTCATGCATTGTTAACGTTTACTTGAAGTAAACAACACTTCCCTGGACTGAATTACTTTTGTTCACATGGTCGTTTTCAATAGAACCTGAAAGTTTTTGCAAGAAAAGCGCATTTGTATGGAGACTTTCGTGTGGACGGAAGATGTCCAAAGAACAAAAGTTAAAAAAGAAGCCGCATTTGTAGATTTATTCAAAACTTTCCGCTTGTACATTTGCAGTCTTTTTTATTTGCATAAACCGCTTCTTGAAAATCTGTCCTTGAGGGATCTAAAACTCAAGATAAATGTAATAGTATTCTTGTAATTTAGAATGATGAAACTAGCGGTAAACTAGTATGAGCTGCGTCAGTGTTTCTTAAGAAACATTTGTGTAATTAGATAAATTTAAACGCCGTAAAAAAACTTTATACTGACGCTTCTGACGTCAATCCTTCGGCGTAAAGCAATTCATTAAGGAAAATAGATAGTAAATTAAATAGAGGATAGCGTGATAGCGCGCATTTTAATGTAAAAATGATGTAAGTAATATTTACATGATTTTGGACACTTACATCATATTTACATCACATTTACACACTTTTTATAAACAATGTAAATTTAATGGAAATATCAGTGTAAATTAAAATCCAAATTTACACGATATTTCATTGATTTTGGACACTTACAGGATATTTACAACCTTTGTAATTATCATAGATTGAATTTAAATCATATTTCCATTAAATAACAACCTTCAAGGAGCGCGTTTTTTCCAGTGGTGGAGACGTGTATTTTATCTTTAAGTATTATAAAGATGATCACTTACGAGTGAGTGAGTGAGCGTAGTAAATGATGTCAGCACATTTTCAATACATTTTCATCTTTCAATTATGCACGTCAGGGGGATGAATTTTGGGGAGATCACTGATTGTAAAATGGCTAATTGTCATCAATAAAACTGAGAATAAAACCACCGCACGCCATAAAGAACTGTAAAATTTGTTTATAGTAATTCTGCAACTGGGAATACTTGAATAATGTAACTTCCATATTCTCTTGTATTCAACCTAGAAGTGACCATGTTTTAAAAGGTCCGTTTACACTTGCAATTTTTTCAGCGAGATTGTCGCGTGACAATTGCCACTTTGTTCTCGCGCATCTCAAATCGTACGTGTAAACAGCCCTGCGATTGTCAAAAATCGCCGCGAGCTATAACTAAATTTCAAGCATGTTCGAAACTCAGGCGATTGTGCGCGACAATCGCGCTTTAAAAATCGCAAGTGTAAACGGGCCTTTAAAGGGACATGGTCCACCAGCATCCCTTTCGAGCTTTTGTTTATGTTTGAAATTAGAAATATATCGTAATATAAGCAAAAACTTACTCTTTATTATTCCTTTATTCTATATGAATGGAGACGCTTTAAGATTCGACCGTTAAACCGATGGATGGAAACGGATTGCAAATGGATATTCGAAGTCACCTCATTTTCCATATATGAAAAATCTGAAACACGACCGCATTGCATGCTAGTGGACCATGTCCCTTTAATGATGAGTTGCACTTTATTTTCCGTCTTTCTCTTCTTTTTTCTTCTTCACTTCTTCTTTTTCCCAAACGACTTGCAAGTTAAAATGGCTTTTTGATGATTTTTTCGGACTTTTTGACCTTGCAATGCCTACCAAAATCTTCCGAAGGATAGGAAAGCTAATGGGAGACAATTAGTAGAAATAGGCTGTCTTTCCTTTTAAATAAACGTCTGTTTAATTCAATACATTAACTTGCACGAACTTGGGTACATGTTACAGAAGTTCCCCGTTCCATTCGAAGCAGTCCGCCAAATTATTATAAAACTCAACTAGTAGCCAGATCATTAATTGCCAACCTGATGCGTACTCTTTGTTGTGAACGTATTAGCACTATTTAGTTTGTACAGTTGCACGGTTTAGAGTGATCACACTTAATCCGTGCAACTGTACAAACTAAATAGTTGTGTTTAGGTGTATTTAGTAATTCGTGCATGCGGTACGCAAATTAAATTGAATTGATACAAATGAAGCATTCAATACCGTCTTGCTTCAGGTCAAACTTTTAGTACAAATTAATACTACTTAGATTTTGTACAGTTGCACGG